TGGGGCACATGTGATATTTTGCTGCATGCATAGAATGTGTAATGACCAAGTCAGAGTAGTTAGAGAATCCATCACCGTGAGTAATTACCATTTCTATGTGTTGAGAACATTTCAAGTCCTCTGCTCTATTTTTTGTTTTTTTGAGATGAAGTATCATTCTGTCATCCAGGCTGCAATGCAGTGGTGCAATCTCAGCTCACTGCAACTGCCTCCTGGGTTCAAGCAATTCTCCTGCCTTAACCTCCCAAGTAGCTGGAATTACAGGTGCTTGCCACCACATCTGACTAATTTTTGTACTTTTAGTGGAGATGGGGTTTCACTGTGTTGGCCAGGCTGGTCTCAAACTCCTGACCTCAAGTGATCCACTTACCCTTGCACTCCCAAAGTGCTGAAATTATGTGAGCCACTGCGCCTGGTACTCAGTAACCAACTTCTCTTCATCCTTCTTCTACACAGTCTTCCTAGCGTCTGGTGTCCATCATTCTACTCTCTACTTCCATGAGATTGACTTTTTGAGCTCCCGTATATGAGAGATGTTGAACATGTGATTTTTGTCTTTCTATGCCTAGCTTAGTTCACTTAACATAATGACCTGTAATTCTATTTATGTTGCTTCAAATGACATGATTTCATTCTTTTTATGGCAGAATGGTATTTCATTGCATATATATTTTTTCTTTATTCATTTGACCATTGATGGACATGTAGGTTGGTTCCATGTCTTTATGACTGTGAATAGTGCTGCAAAATAAACATGGGGTGCAGGTATCTTTTTGACAACTAATTTATTTTCCTTTGAATAAACACCCAGGAATGGGTAATGGTGGATCATATGGTAGCTCTATTTTTAGTTTTCTTTTTTCTTTTCTTTTCTTTTTTTTCAGAAATCTCCAGACTGTTTTCCATACTGGCTGTACTAATCTACATTCCCACCAACAGAGTATAAGAATTCCCTTTTCTTCACATCGTCACCAGCAACTGTTTTCTATCTTTTTGACAACAGTCATTCTGACTGGGATAAGATGATATCTCACCGTGGTTTTGACTTATATTGTCCTGATGATTAGTGATATTAAGCATTTTTTCATATACTTTTTGGCTATTCTTGTGTCTTCCTTTGAGAAATGTCTGTTTATGTCCTTTGCCTCTTTTTTTTTTTTTTTTTTTTTTTTTTTTTTTTTGAAGTCTCACCGTCTCCCAGGCTGAAGTGCAGTGGTACACTCTAGGCACACTGTGACCGCCACCTCCCAGGTTCAAGGATTCTCCTGCCTCAGCTTCCCGAAGCTGGGATTACAGGCACCTGTCACCATGCCCAGCTAATTTGTTTGTTTGTTTCTTTGTATTTTTGGTAGAGGTGGGATTTTGTGCTGTTGGCCAGGCTGGTCTTGAACTCCTGGTCTTGAACTCCTGCCCACCACTGCTTCCCAAAGTGCTGGGATTACAGTCATGAGCCCCTTTGCCTTTTTTTTTTTTCTTTTTCTTTTCTTTTCTTTTTTTTTTTTTGACAGTCTTACTCTGTTGTCCAGGCTGGAGTGCAGTGGTGCAATCTTGGGTCACTGCAACCTCTGCCTCCTGGGTGCAAGACATTCTCCTGCCTCAGCCTCCCAAGTAGCTGGGATTACAGGCATGTGCCACCACACCCACCTAAGTTTTTTACTTTTTAGTTGAGATAGGGTTTCACCATTTTGGCCAGGCTGGTCTGAAACTCCTGACCTCAAGTGATCTGCCCACCTCAGCCACCCAAAGTGCTTACAGGCATGAGCCACTGTGCCCGGCCTGCCTATTTTTTAATGAGATTATTTGTTTTTATACTGTTCAGATTTTTTAGTTCATTATATATTCTAAATATTATTCTTTTGTCAGATAGTTTGCAGATATTCTCTGCCATTCAACAAGTTGTCTCTTCACTTTGTTGATTTTTTTCCTTACTGTGAAGAAGTTTTTTTACTTTAATGTAGTCCCATTTGTCTATTTGTGTTTTTGTTACCTGTGCTTTTGATGTTTTAGCTGTAAAACATCGCCTAATGTACTGAAGTATTACCCTAATATTTTATTGTGGTTATTTTACAGCTTTAGGTGTTACATTTTAGTCTTTAATCCATCTTAAGTTGATTTGTGTATGTGGTAAGATACAGGGGTCCAGTTTTACTCTTCTGAATGTGGATAACCAATATTCCTAGCACAATTTATTAAAGAGATTATCCTTCCTCTAGTGTAAGGATAATCTTGATGTCTCTCCAAAGTCAGTTGGCTGTAAACGCATGTATTTATTTCTGGATGCTCTCTAATGTTTCTTTGGTATGTGTGTGTGTTTTTATACCAATACCCTGCTGTAGGTATAGCCTTATATTTATTTATATTTTGAAGTTGGATAGTCTGATGCCTCCAGCTTTGTTCTTCTTGCTCAGGATTGCTTTTGCTATTCAGGCTGTTTTTTTAGTTTGATGTGAATTTTAGAATTTTTCTTCTTTTTTTGTGAAAAAGGACACTGATATTTTGATAGACATTGAATTGAATTTGTAGATTGCTTTGTGTAGAATTGGTCATTTTAATAATGTTAAATTGTTCTGTTCCATGACCATGAAATGTCTTTCCATTTGTTTGCATCTTCTTCAATTTCTTTCATCAGTTTTATAGTTTTCTTTGAGGAGGTCTTTCATTTCCTTGGTTAAACTTATTCCTGTGGGTTTTTTTTTTTTTTTTTTTTTTCGTAGTATTTGTAAATGGGATTGCTTTCTTGATTTTTTTTTTTTTTTTTTGGCCATTTCATTATTGATGTATAGAAATGCAACTAAGTTTGGATGTTGAGTTTGTATTCTGCAACTTTATTATCAGATCTCAACAGTTTTTTGGTGTAGTATCCACACATGAACTGTTGTCAGTCTATGATGAGATAAAGGCAATATGAGAATAAATGTTTAGAAAGTTTTATGAAACGTTCATGGAGTAGTGTCTGTTAAATCTAATAAAAAATTTGGCCTTGTATTTTGCATACCTTTTACTTAAATTTAATTTTCCTAGTACAGTTATTTCTTAGTATCTTCAGGTTATTGGTTTCAGGAGCCCCAACAATAGCAAAATCTAAGGATGCTCAAGTCCCTTATATAAAATGGCACACTATCCACAAATAACCTATGTATATCCTCCTGTATACTTTAAATCGACTCTAGATTACTTGTAACATCTAATACAATGTAAATGTTATATAGTTGTTACACTGTATTATTTTCTATGTGTATTATTTTTATTGTTAATTTTTACAATTAAAAAAAATTTTTCAATCTGTGGTTGGTTGAATCTGAGGACATGGAACCCATGGGTATAAAGGGCCAACTGTAATTAATTTTTCTTATATTTTAAAAAGGTATTGGTTGGTGATGGTTTAGAAATTAAAAAAAAAACAACAACACTGTTCCTTCCTGCAGATAGTTTGAGAAGAAATAGCCCAGATTACAAATTGAAAATTAATAACTTTTGGTAAGGTCTCCAGTTAATCATTTTTTTCATTTTTCTTTCACTTACAGTTCATTAATTAATTAGAGTTCACTAACTAATTTTCAGCTGATATTCTTTGCTTGTGTTTTCATTCTGAGAAGTTACCATTTTACCAGCCAGGTTAGAAGTAAAGCAGTAAGTTCAGTGGAAAAACGAGTAATAATAGATCTAATTACTGAGACCATACTGTGCAACCGACTCTGTATAGAGGAAAACAACCTATTATATAGGTATTTTTATTCCCATTTTAGAGATGAGAAACAACTTAACCACAAGCATACAAATACAGCAAATGTAGCAAATGTAGTGACAGAACCAGGATTCCGATGCAGGTTTATCTGGCTCCAACGTCTCTACATTTTTAACTACACTGTTTTTTATTAATCACTAGGTAGAACCATACACACATTGTTACAACAGGCAGAAGTTTCTGGGGGTTCTATTAACACAATGCTAGGAATGAAGTGGGTAGAAGAAAGTACATGGGTCTCCCATTCAAGGGTTCATCAGTCTTCACCATACTTAGGAAATCTAAGTAGCTGACAGTGAGTCAGCATTTTGGAAGGCAGATAAGAGATGGTAAAGAAATAAAGAAATTATTCTATGAGTCATTACAGATATTTAAGTTTGTTAAAAAATGTTTCTGACTATCGACTCCCTTTGCCTACAGAGTACAGTAAACGTCTCTTAAAAATTATGGAAATAAAAACAATCAGTGGTTGTCAGTCCTTGCCAAACTGAAAAAAGGAACAGAACGGCTAAGCCTTTTGTGCTTAAACACATACTCATTCATCAGTAACTACTCTGGCTTATACTGAGCACAACTAAGCTAGGTTGTTCTTCTGGGGAATGTACTTGCAAGTTAACACTGCACGGCAACTATAAGGTTTCTTAAAAGACATCAGTTGTACATTGTAAATTAAATCTAATTTAAATTAATATAATTTTATTTATCCTAGCAAAAAATTTTTTTGTTTTAAGGATGAGATTTTTTTTTTAAAGGAATAATCTTAGCATAATTTTACACCCCATACATGAAACGATTGGGATCCAATCTCAATCAGAAAAAGTCTTTTATTGTGTTCCTAGGGCCTTCCTGTGTCCTCTGTAACACAAAAATCCTAGCAGAAGCATTTCCCCTTTACCCAGTTCTTTTTCTCTTATCACAGTTCTATCCCTCCACACTCCCTTACTGCTAGGCAGGGAATTTGAAAGGGCAGGGAAAAATCGGTAAAAGTTTGCCTTCTACTTGGGTAGTATATCCAATGCCACCGCATCCTGTAGTATATGTGTATAATTCTTTTTGTATCTTTATCAGTTTCCTCCCCATTCCCTCTTCCATACCTGTTTCCCTCACGTTTCTCTCATTATCCCGTCCTCATGTTTTCCTTCATCTCCACATTCCTGTCTCAATCAGCCTCCTGGCCTCAGGTCTTTATCTCCTTCCTGAGACCCTCATGCCTAATGTTCCCTCATTCCTCTTACACCTAGGATTTCTCCTCCTTCTCCAAGGGTCTGATCCTCCATCCCTCCCGCTTCGCCAGACGCTCTCACTCTGGAAGCCCCCACCTCCCTTTCCCCAAGCCCAGAGGTCGCGCGGCCGCACACTGCGAGTACCGCGCGTCGGGGAAGGCGTCTGAGCCGCGCCGTGGGGTCTTCCCGCTCCCCCGCAGCCTCCAGGCGCGGTGCACTCTGGGGGAACATGGCCGCTTCCGGTCTCCTTCTCTGGCCGGCGCTGGCTTGACTGCGGTCCCTGCCGAAGCACTCCGCCCTCTGCTTCTCCCGCCTCGCAGACGCCAAGACCGCTTCAGCCTTCTCCTCTGCTGCCCCTGCCGCGCCATGGAGAAGAGCTCAAGCTGCGAGAGTCTTGGCTCCCAGCCGGCGGCGGCTCGACCGCCCAGCGTGGACTCCTTATCCAGGTAACCAGGACGCCCAGGGCCCCGCCCAGCAGCCGAAGGGGATGGAGAGGGGCCGGGGACCCGCTGGACGTTGCCCCAACTCGCGGACTGTGGTTTCTGAAGGCTGCGCCGGAATTCCTTTCCCGGGACTTGGGAACCACTTCTGCTCCCCTCTTTGGGGCGTGGAGGCTGAGGAAAAGGAGGTTAAACTCGCTGCTTCTCTGTAGATTCCTCTACCTTTCATATTCCGATCTTGTGTTCTCCCCGATGGAGGTGGTCTCAGTTAATTACTTTCTCCTGTCTCTCATTCCCTCTCAGTGTTTTTTTTAGACAGCCCCCCCCATCCTTTCATTCTTTCCCCCTCATTTCCTGTCTTTCTGTATCACTTTTTCCAAAACCATCCTTCAGTCAATCTCTCTTCTTCCACCCTTTCTTATGTCTTTGGTTTCGGGGTTCATGCCCAACCCTTTTCTCTCTTTCATAGCTTCACTTTCTTAATTTCTTTCAAGCTTATCTTCACACTCTGATTTTCTTCTCACCTCTCCTTTTGCTTAAATATGTAATAAAAGTGTCTCCTGTGCTTCTCTTTTCTAAATCTTCCAGCTGAAAGTCAGTATCAAGGAATCTGTGTGGTTTGCATCCCCAGTGATAGGTTTAAGAAAACAAAATAAGTGGTAGTTTTCTTCCGTCTTGGGCTACTGGTTCTCCAGGTTTTCATTTCTCTTGTAACAGATGGGAATTGTATCTTGGAATTTTGAGGAGGACTTTATGTAGCTTTGCAGAGAGCTTCCACGAATATTAACTACACGTGTTTTGGATGCAGTCTTTTTCTTTGATTTTAAAATAATGATTTAAAATTTTACCAAAAAATAAGACCTGTGTTTTGCTTTTTATACAGCCACAATGCAATCTGGTTCTTTTCCACTGAAAAATAGTCTAATTGTTATTAGCGAGTTATTCGATAACTGCTGTGTGAAAACGCAGTTTTCATTTTCTCCTCGAATCAATTGAAGTGGCTCCACTGTAATTCATTTTGGATTCTGCTAAATATGGGTAGTTATTGCCTTTTTTTTCCTATTGTTCAGCACCTCATTGGGGAACCACTGTCTGATCCCATCATTCTAAATCTCTATCTGCATCCATAGGTTCCTGCCCAGTCCTTTTTCAGTCCCTAACAAGCACACTATAATTGTTAGCTTAAAGTTTTTTTCCTCCCAGGCTATAAGCTATTATACTTGAGGGCAAGGGCCATGTCTTAATCATCTTCATATCTCCAGCACTTAACATAGTCTCAGCATGTGATAGTTGTAAACTGAATTATCTAGGAGAGGAGGATTTTTCTTTGCAGTTTGATTATATATATTGCACGTGTGAATCAAGTGTTTTTTAAATTCTGTATTTATTGCTTGGAAATTTAGAAAGCTGAGGATTAACATGTTCAGTTGTAAAATTATTCATTCAGAAAACAGGTTGGAAAATTCTAATTTTATGGGAAAGTTACAAATGACAGCTATGCCTCAGAATAGAATAAGAGGCAACCAGTACGCTCATCCAAGGCAGAGGAGTTAGAACCACAAGAGGCAGCCTACTGTTAGAAGGAGGTACTGGACGTTAGGAAGCTCCCATGCTGAAGTCTCTTGCTGAGCTAGCTCTTTGGCCTTTATCATTTAACCTTTTTAGTCTACAGTTTTCTCATCTTTTAAAACAAGAGGCTTGATTTAGAAAATCTGTAAGGTCCCTTTGAACTCTAAAATTCTTATTTTTTTAATTTTAATGAAAATACATATTAAGATAAATACATTCTTACTAATTTTAAAGATAATTCCTTTGCAAATAACTTTGGTTTGGATTTTTGCAATTACACTAAATAAGTGCCTTTTGTTATTACAAACGAATATACCTAAAGGTGCCACTTTTGCATACTTACTTTCTAAAAAAGCCCAGCAAGTTTAAAGTTTATATATGTATATTAACGTCTTCATAAAAAATTATGTTACTCGCGTGAATTTGAGAAAATTAAGTATTCCTCAAAAGAATTGTGACTATATTAGATTAGCCTCATCCTCTCTGGACAAAAATATAAGTGTGTCTCCTATTTTTCATAACAGAATGCCAGCTTGCATTACTCTCTTCTGGAAGGTAGAAAATAACATTTACTTAATGTCAACTGTATCGAAGTTTCCCTGCTAAATTCTATATATCTCTTATTTCATTAATCATCATACCTGTTTGTGACACTTTCTTTAATCAATAGTAATAGTTACATTATAGACACTAATTACAAAGCTTAATTTTAAACTTATATAACACTTCATCGCAGGTGATTCTAATGCATTGCCAGTGTGTCTGTCTAGATTTTTTAAGTTATTTCTTTTGTTTTATTAGCCTTCGAGAAAGCAAAATTATTGCTGTTTGGCCTATAGTGTCTCAGTCTTTGCAGAAATGATGCCCTTAAATTGTAGTTTATTTTTATGCTTGCTGTTTTTATACAGAGGCCTAATTGAGAAACTGCCTTGTGAATTTGTTTTGATGTCTCTGGCAAAATAATAGTTAATTATATTGCTAAATGTGTCACAGAAGGTTTTTCACACATGGATTGACATAAATTTCTGCTGAGTTTAGCTACAAGAAAAATTGTTTATGGAAATAATTATGTATGCTCCTTGTTTGTTAGTAAATGGTAACTACATAACTGCATCTTTCTCTGTAGCTTAGTAAAACATTTTAGTCAAATTTTTATCTGAAGTTGGTAATATACTTATCTCTAATTTCTTTAAGTCCTTTTATTATTACATGAACTCAAGTTAAATATTATGTGTTATGTTTAAATGTATTGATTAGATGTCTTAAGCCCTTCTAATACAGTAATCTATGTCGTTGCCCATTGTTTTTTGAAAATGGCATTGTTGGCTGGGCACCGTGGTTTGTGCCTGTAATCTCAGCACTTTGGGAGGCCAAGGTGGGAGGATCATTTGAGCCCAGGAGTTTGAGACCAGCCTGGGCAACATAGTGAGACTCCCATCTCTAAAAAAGGAAATGTTTTTTAAATAAATTTTTTTTTTAAAATGAAGGCCCGGCGCAGTGGCTCACGCCTATAATCCCAGCACTTTGGGAGGCCAAGGTGGGTGGATCATGAGGTCAAGAGATCGAGACTATCCTGGTCGACATGGTGAAACCCCGTCTCTAATAAAAATACAAAAATTAGCTGGGCATGGAGTCGTGTGCCTGTAGTCCCAGCTACTAGGGAGGCTGAGGCAGGAGAATTGCTTGAACCCAGAAGGCGGAGGTTGCGGTGAGCCAAGATTGTGCCATTGCACTCTAGCCTGGGTAAAGAGCGAAACTTAGTCTCAAAAAAAAAAAAAAAAAAAAAAAAAATAGAAAATGACATACTTCATTGAAGTTGGATGAAAGGACCGTTGTGCAATCTGTGGTTCACACTAAACATGTGAGTCTTATTAAGTATCTGTAGTCATTTCAGAGTTGCTCTTGTTTCCAGTTACGCCTTCTAGGTCATCATAGGCCTAATGCCTTTGCCCACAAAAGAGCAATTTCATTCTTCATATGATATACAGAAAGTAACTTCCTAATCAGCTATATTTATTTCATCCTGCATCTTTAAAAAACAAAAAAGTAATTATCAACTGGGCGTGGCGTGTGCCTGTAATTCTAGCTACTCGGGAGGCAGAGGTACAAGAATCACTTGAACCTGGGAGTCAGAGGTTGTTGCAGTGAGCTGAGATCACACTACTGCACTCCAGCCTGGGCAACAGAGTGAGACTGTGTCTCAGAAATAGAGAAAAAGAATTGTTCTTTGGTGAGTCCTGCTTAATATTGCCATACTTTAGTAAAGTGTTCAGCAACTCTTGTATATCTTGCTGTTGGCCATTTTTCATGCATGTCTATCCCCACAGAAAGAGGATGTTATGGAAAAATTCACTTCAGCATCCTGATAATCTACCTATAATCTGTAATTTTATTCTCGTTGGGTGTGCTGTGATTCTTGATATAAGTGTGACTTTATAGAATATAGATAAAATAATACTGTAGGTCAGATGTGATAAGAGTAGGCCTGAGCCTCAGAACTGTAATGAGTTACACAGCAGAATTTGACCTTATATTGGTAATAATTTGCCATCTTAGTCTGGTTTTCCATTTTTCAGTTTATACACTGTTATGAAGTGTACTGCTTTAGTGATTTTCTTTGATTATTTTGTATTGTGCGTAATCAAATGGTAAGATATCTAGTGCCAAATAAGTGCCCAGTGAACAACTAAATAAAAGAATGTTGACAGAATGTTCACCACTGGTTTTATTTGTTGTTCCCATTCAAAGGATTAAAAAGGATTTCTTCTGTTGAATTTGGCCTGAACATTTGGAATTTCAGGTCTAAGCTAAAGTTATTTTTATGGGAGACTCTGGACATCTTGAGCTGATTTTACTGGCTGCATTATCTGTTCTGTGTCCAGTTCTATACATATTGAGGTTATTACATCCTCTGCAACTACCTATTTATCCATCTGCTACTCTTGATTACTTTAGACACTTTTGCTCTAACTTAGGTTGTTAGTTGTTTTATTTAATGTATATTCCTGTCATCCTTTATGTACCCTCAGGCTTTATTTATTCTGGGTACCATACTTGTTTATCCCAGATTATTTTGGTTTTATCAGTTTCTAGTATATAATTTCATTAGCATTGATGAGCATCTTATAGTTACATTTAAATTCCATTAAAAAAAATCAAAGGGGAGGTACACATACTCAAAGTAGTTCTCAACTAAATGAATTTCTAAATTGCATGCCTGCCTTAAGATGATCATCATTTGAAAACAGCAGTTCCTGGATTTCTGTTTCCATGGATTTTGATTATACTTAGCCTGAAGAAGTAGAAGTGTTTTGTAGATTTCTAAAACACATTTTGTTGCAAGGTCTCATCTTGAGTTTTAGCTTCAAGGTCACTTAAGAGTGATGTGTTGGAGACCAAGAGCAGTGGCTAACGCCTGTAATTCTAGCACTTTGGGA